GATGAATCTGTAACCTTATATTTTTCTAGAAATTTAGGACTTACTTTCTGCTTGGAATTTCAGCCCACTTTACTTTAATAAAAGACAACTATGAGAAAGCACTCCACACATCTGAGGGAGGCATGTCAGGCAGAAAGCCTCTGTAGAATGAAAGCCACGGGTCATAATGGGGTTTTCCCACAAGACATCCAGGGACAAAACAAAGACATGCAAGAAGCTGCTCTGTTAACATGAGACCATAAAAAAAAAAAACTATTTTTTAGCCTACATGTAAAACCTTGTGCATGTAGAAATAAAAATAAAAATAAAATAAGACACCACAGGGCCATGCAGAGACCACTAAAGGGGCAGGTGCTCAAAAAAAAGGGCACATCTAACCTTCTAGGACAGAATATGAACAAAGCCACTCAGCTTTCAGAGTTTAATAAACAATGATAAATTACAAAATTGTGACATATATAATCAAAGCTAAGGAAAATCTCCATATAAAGCATACAACTATGCATATGTAAGATATTATTAGTAATTTCTTTCTGCAGGTCTATTTTGTTATAGTACTGCAATATTCAAACCCGCAATTTAGCAAGATATGTAAATCAGAGCTAGACCACCAGACAGATACCCCACTGACAATGGATAACCATTCTTTTTCGAGTCCTGACGCAAAAACTTTCTGCCGGTCTCCTAGTCCACAATGTACATTAATGTGTTTACTACTGTAGCTTGTGTTTGTGAGACGGTCGCGCACGTGGTAGCTGCATATGGAGTTAGATTTGTTTCACAATTATTCAATCAAAAAAAAAAAAATATCATGTCAAACAAAAAAAGTAGTATTCAATCAAAAAAAAATAATAATGTAAAAAAAAAAAAAAGTAGTATTCAATCAAAAAAAATCATGTCAAAGCAAAAATCACTAAGTTTTTTTTTTTTTACTTTTTTTTTGGTTGAGTTTTTTTGGTTGAAACTTTTTTTTTTTTTTGGTTGAATCTCTTTTTTTGGTTTAAACGTTTTTTGATTGAGTCTCTTTTTTTTGGTTGAAACTTTTTTT